CGGGATCATAGCAATACGTATAAAAAAAAAACACACGAAAAAAATAAAAAAAATTAAGAATTATTGGAGGGAGGCGTAGGACCCTTGTGAACCACATCCGATGACGTATCATTATGAGATGATAACGTCACAGTTGGAACGGGTAGCACGGGTTTTTTTAATATTTGAGGTTTGGGTTTAAATTGTGGTTTTATAGATGGTAAAGATGGCGGAGTTATAGGGGTTGCAAATTTAACGGGTAATTTTGGTGTTAACCTTTGCTGATGCGTCACCGGATTAATAACTAATTCCAATTCGGATTTAACTTGTATTATTTTTTCCGAATTAAGAAAGTTACTTAAACTTTCAACTTCGTTCGTTTTCGTTTCGTTAATTATTTCTCCATTGTTTTTATTTCTTTGTATGTTGGCGGCCTTTTTCTTAAGTGTGCATTGATTTTGTTTAGCAAATCGTTCGGCTGTCGTCATATCCGGACTTTCCGGATTCGGACTATTCGTTTCGCTGTTGGTTTCTTCTTCGGCAATTGATTTTTCTAAAACATCTTTCGGACTACCCACAAATGGCAAATCCATAACTAAATCCGGAGTGTGTTTTTGTCTCAATTCCCACAATTCTTGATTGTGTCTCGGAGTTACCGGTGGATCTATTTGACCCTGTGATGCTGCTCTCCTTTGCCAAAGTTCTCTATTCTGATTAAAATTACTCGTTGAATCTTTTGTTGTTGATTCGCTAACGCTTTGACTTTTCCAATGAGTTTTTTTCCGTGGTGTTGAATTTTCATTTTGTGTATCATCCGAACATTTATTATTATTATTATTAATCATTTCATTCGATTGATTATTTCCCGATTTTTCTCCTGATTCTAAACATTCGTTGGGTTTATCCTGTGATGTTTCTTTAACGTTTTTCTTGTCTTTATTTATTGTAACACATTCCGAACCTTCCACCGAATTCTAAAAAATAAAAAAAATAAAAACATTTTTGTATATTTTAACGGTTAAATCAATTAGTGATTGATTGTTAAAAATAAATTGTTTTTTTTTTTTTGTCGGACTAAAAATTCTTCATCTAATAATAACTTTTTACCTTTATAATAAAAAGACATGCTTGAAGATGCTTTTTAACAATAAACATAATATAAATATTTATTTATACTAACCTTAATTTTTTATTTTTATGTAAAAAAAGCAACGAATGCGACGAATAAACGAAGACACAACCAACACAGGCTAGGAATTAAACGTACTCGGCAACCAACAATTGAAAATAAAAAAAAAAAAAAAAAAACAAAAAAAAACAAAAAAAATTAACGGAAAATAAATAAATAAATAAATAAAAGCTTTCAAAAAAAAAAAAAACTATTACGTAAATAAATAAATAAATAAATCTCTTGATAATAATTTTTAAAAAATTTTTATTAATTACGAACGATAAATGATTTATTTATTTATTTACCGGAAATAAAATTAACCTTTTGTGCAAAAAAATTCTTTTTAATAATAAAACTAAAAACTAAAAACTAAGCGGAAAATATAAATTAGTCGTTAATTTAGTTTTTTATCATCATCATTATTAATAAAGTTGTTTTTTTTTCCCCCGATCGGTTAAAAATCTTTGTCAAACGGTTATTAAATTAAGCAAAACGTATATAAATAATAATAATAATTATTTAAAAAAACGATTCGTTTTAATTAATCACCACGATCCGTCAGATTAATTTTTTTTTATTTAATTATAATAAATCGCCATTTTTAAAAAAAAAACAATAATTAGTACGCGTTTAATTAAGCAGATTAAAAAAAAAAAAAACAAAAAAAAAAAAAAATTATTTATACATTTATATATATATATATTTGTCATTTATTTTACACTTAAAAATTAAACAAAAATTTTAACGTGCAAGGAAAACGCGAACACGCGCACGCGCACGCACACACACGCAACAAACAAACAAACAAACGAACAATTAATTAATAAACATAAATTTCGTCACAATACCTGAATTCTTTTTGGCACTTTCGTCCCAAAAAAATCGATGTTAATCACAGACTTTTTGTTTTTTCTTTCTTTCTTTCTTTTCTATCATCATTATCATCATCATCATCATCATCATCATCATCGTCAGTATTATTAATATTATTAAAATCAAAACAAAACTAACTAAAAACTAAATTAACTACTATTAAGTAAGGTTACACCGACTAATTTACATATTAGATTACGATGAAACCCATTCCTTTCAAATACTTAATAAAACAAAAAACATTTACAACAAAAAAAAAAAATTTTTGTTTGTTTTGTTTTGTTTTGTCATTAAACAAACAAACAAACAAACAAACACTTACAAAAATAATAAAAAAAAAAAAAAAACAAGCAAACGCTAATGCAAAAAAAAAATTAATATATAAATATTAAAAAAAAAATAAAAAAAACTACAACATTCCAAATCTAAATTCTAATTAAATAACAAACAAACAAACAAACAAACAAACAAACAAACAAAAATCAGACAGGTCGAGATGAAGAATTATTTATTTATTTATTTGTAAAGGAGGTTAAATTATTTTTAATCTTTTGTTATTTGATTATTCGTTAATCTTTATCCCAATCGCATCTTAATTCTTTTTTTTTTTTTTTCATAATAAAAATAATATTAGTCTTCATTTTTACTATTATTATTATTATTATTATTATTATTATTATTAATTACGTATTTCATTAAAACGATTTCCTACTCGTCATTTATATTATCATTATTATTAATATCATTTCAGGGTGGCCCACTCATTGTAATTAAATTAAATACTAATAAATATTTAATTAATCCGCACGATGTGATTTAACAAACGGATTAATTCGGATTTAAATTCTCGAAATTCTAAAAATCAAAATAAGAAATTTCGCACGCTCGAGATTTCAAGGCAGACATTTATTATTATTATTATTATTAAATTTTAATAGAATTTTGCGACGTGAAATTTCAATTAAAACTAAAAAGAATCTACATATAAATATATTTTAAACGGTTGTCTCCAGTACCTCGTGGGTTGTCGTTGTTGTCGCCAACAACGAGAGCGGCGCTTCATCTTTTTTATTATTTCTATCGACCCAATCGGATCTCGGTTCCGTTTCCGGTGTCCAATTCATCGGACTTATGCTTATAAGAGGAGAATTGTGAGTAGATGAAGATGTGCCGGAAAGAACGGAATCGTTCGAACTCGATGCTCTTCTCCTCATGGATTCTTCCGATGAACTGGATTTGAGTATATCGACTTTTTCTCTATCTTCATCCCTAGGGAAAAAGAAAATTTTTTTTAAAAAAAAGTCTCGAACGAATTTTTTCCTTTTTCTTTTCTCCTCTCTCTTACTTACTTTATCTTTAGGAGAATGTATTTATCCGGAATAAGGCCTTCTTGACCGTTGACGCTTCCTCGCCACCAGTCGTTCGATACCTGAGTATACAGTGTTACGTTATCACCTTTTTTCAGACTTAATTCTCTATCCGATCTGGCCAAGAAATCAAATTGAACAGTTGCTTCCAACACGTCGGATTCTTTAACAAAAAAAAAAAAAAAAAGAAAATGTCAAATGACGTCATTAAATAAAAAAATTTTTTTTTTTTTTTTTTAACTCACCGTCTTCCGATGGATAAACTTCGGAATCCAAATCCTCTTGAATTTGATCCGACGGGGAATCCCCAACGTCGCTATTTGAAAAAAATTATAAGTAATTACCATCAAAAAGAAACAAACGAAAAATAAATAAATAATGATAATAATAATAATAATAATAATATTACCATTCGTCGGGTTCTTTCGAAATGTATTTCTCGTAAAAAACTGTTCCGACGTCGGCCGGAAATATTTCTTCGTTAAATAATATTATATTTTTAATTAATTCGTTTACCAAATTTTGAAATTGAACCTGATCTTTTTCTTCCGGAACCGGAACCAATGTCGGACCGAAGCATATCGCTAAATTATATGGATCCATCATGTTTTCGTCGGAGAATTCGGACAAGCTGAAATTAATGCAAGCACGCACACACGCATATAAATATAAATTCAAAGAAAGAAAAGAGGGATCGAGGGGGATCGAGAGTGTAAATAAAAAAAAATAATCCTAGAGGGGGAAGGGGGGAGGAATTATTTTTACTCACTGATTTAAAAACGCGAATAAGTATTTCATAACGATAACAACCGGCTTGGGAAGACTTTGAACGACGTCTCTTATTTTAGTTACGAATCCCCTTTTTGATTCTTCCTGAGCTAGTTCCATAAATTGTTCAAAATAAATAATTGGAAAAAGAGGCTCGCGAAGCTCCCTAAGATAAAGTTTGAGAACGCCGGCAACCGAATTTATATCTGATGCATCCGTTACGTCAGCCAATGGATCTTCTCCCCTTTCGAAAGCTTCACGAAAATTGTTTATTTCAACTTGAGAACCAGACACTCTAAATATTCCCTGGTGATGAAGGCCTGTAAAAAAAAAAAAAAAACCGAGGCTTTTTATAAACGGAAATCTCGAAATGAAAAGAGAGAGAGAGAGAGAGAGAGAAAAAACTATTTTTTAAAGAGCTTTTTTGAAACACTTAAAATAATCATGTGAATAATTACCGTACAAATTGATAACTCTCACGCAGCTTTTAATGATAAGAGGAATCTCTTGATTGGTCGCCTCCAAATATTCTTCTAAACTTCCTCCGAAAAGTTTCGGTTGTCCGTTCATTTGACGTCCTATTCTTTTCCTTCTGGGTGGTTTCGTTTGAGACAAACTTCCCTGATTGTTTCCCTTGTGATTGTTTGCCGTGGACAACCAATTGGGAGAATCTCCTCCGGCTTCCAAAAGAGTCTGACGAATGTGTTCGTGTTTGGCGTCCAACCTCGCTATTCTACTCGTTCCTAAAACGTATTCCCGAAATTTCTGGAAAGATAAAAGAACGACGTCATATTGCTTTCTTTTTCTTCTTCCTATAAGTATATTTTAAAAAAAAAAAAACATCTTACGCTTAAATAAAATTCCTCAGTCTCTTGTCGATCGGCTCTGAGTTTTATATAAACGGTTTCCGGTGGTTTGCTAGCCGGAACTGCATTTTCTCCAAAGTATTCGCTACAATCGTAATCTTTGGCATTTAGCATTTCTAAAAGTGTCGTTTCCGCAGTCTCTAACGTTTTCCAAACTTCTTCCGATTCCGTTCTCAATGATGTGATTCTTTGTTGCAATTGCATGAGACGAGATTCCAATTCCTCTCTCAAACTTTTTTGAAGCTCCGGTTCGGGACCCTGAGGAAACAACGCGTGAGAAACGGCGGATTAAAAATCAAAAACAAATATATATGTGGACTTACATCGTCGCCGCGCAGACCCTGAAATTCAAATTTCTTTGGTATCATGAATGCCGAATGATTCGATTCCAAAAATCTTTGCTTATCCAATCTCGAATCGAGACTTCCGATGCAATTGTGAAGATTATCGAGTCCCGTTTGAACGGATCTTTCGAGTCCTTCTTCGGCCGATATGTGCATGAGCAAAGCTCTGGAAATGCAATTGTGGAACCCGAAATCCATGCACTGTAAAAATAAAAATCAAATTATTCATAATTATTAATTGAATGCCTCCTTTTTTTACTTAATGCAATTTTAATAAACATAAATTTGTGTATATGTTTACAACGACTTAATGAATGAATGAAACAAACAAACAAACAAACAAACAAACGAACAAACAAACAAACAAATAAATAAACATCCGTCTTACGTCTATTAAATCTGAGAGATCGTCGACGAAATATTTGTGAATTGTTGTGTTTGATGCTTCTAAACATAACATGTATTCGTTTCGAGCTTTTAACGCTTTGAGCTTTGCATCGTTGTATTTATTCTTTCTCTGAAAAATTGATCAAAAAAAAAAAATGATGACGATAATAATAATAATAATAAAAAGAAAAAGGTCAGTAAATAAACATGATTATAAACATTATTAATTAACACGCCAATTAAAAAGGAGAATCTCGTCGGATCCTTTAAAAAAAAAAAAACATAAAGATCAATTAATAATAACGTTGTCAGAATGGTCAGAATAAATCATGTAACGCTTTTAACACGTTCGCGAGAGCAACGACGTAACACTATGGAGGAGGACGAACGGCGATATGATATCATATAACATTTTACCTTTTGAACTTCTTTTTCTATTAATCGATATTTTTTCGATCTATCCAATTTTTCCCTCGGCAAAGTCGATTCTTGTTTAAGTCTTTGATTCTCTGCCACTTTTAATTTATTTTCTGCTTGCCTGAACTCCGCTTGATAGGCGTGATATGTTTTCATTGTCGTGTGCAACTCGTGTAAGACTCTCAATATATCCTCATGGGTTTCATAACCGATTTCCCGACACTGAAAAGTGTGTTTTTATAATTATTATTATTATGGAATTCGATGAGGGTTTGTATTGTAGTGAGAGAGAGAGAGAAAGAGAGAGAGTGACGTCCTTACTTTTCTGTATATTCTTTGAACGTCTTCCATAACTTGGCCCAATCTACTAACTAAATGCGTCGAATGAATTTCGCTGAGTGCTGCATGATCTTTACTTAGATTTTTTGTTTGTGTGACTAGTTGTTGCCAGCAAGAATAACTTGAAAAAAGCGGCCAATGTTCTCTTCTAAATTATTAATAATTTTAAATTAATAAAACGTTTTTTTTTTTTTTTTCAATTATAAATTATTTATTTCCTTTTGTTTTTTTTTTTAAATCGACGACTTACTTTTGCTTTTGTTCTTTGTGTCTCAATTGCAAACTCTTGGCCAATTTATCAAGATTTTTCGAATAATCCAATTCTAATTCGGCTCTTTTTCGAAAATAATCTTGTAATTCGGCGACCAAAGCCACCTGAGCTTCCATACGTACGTCCAAACATCTTAACTGTTCGCTTAACTGGAGTCGAATATCTGAATAAAAAAAAAAATTACATGAATATAAATCAACAGACATTTATTTATACGATGCGTATAATAAAATTTTATTCATAAATTTTTTTTTTATGAATGTAACTTGAGAGCTTGAATAAAAAGAAGAAAAAAAATTTCAACCCCCATTTTAAAAACATTAATAATAATACCACCAGAAATATTTAGGGTATCGATTGGATGAAATGAAAAAAGGGTTATAAACCGACATTAACATCATCCTCGAGAGAGAGAGAATTTTATCTTGTGAAATAAAATCATTTGCATCATGTTTTGCATTTAATTATGTTGCCATAAACATAAAAACATATTATAAATATAAAAACAAAAAAAAAGAGAGAAAAAAGTATGCGAGACATGTGTTTTAAAAATAAGTTTAGAGTCGATATACAATCCACAATATTAAGACAATTTCCTTCTATATTTATATATATATATATTTTCTCCATCTGTCCAAAGACATCGAAATCGTTGTCAAGATACTCTCTCTCTCACTCTGTCTCACTCTTTTTCTTTTTTTTTCTCCCCCTTTTTTTTTGCTTCTGGAATAGTTTGTTATTTTTGTCTTAAGCCATTTTTTTCTTTTTCTATGATTTTTTTCCCCGCATGAAAAATATCGCGTTTGTTTTCTTTTTATAATTTTTTTTTTTTTTCACGTTCACCCTTGACAGTTTTCTGACGAAAATCTTATTACCAATATTAAGAACGTTAAAAAAAGAAAAAACAAAAATTCTTTTCTTTTCGAATTATTTTCTAACATTTTTCTCCATTTTGATATAACGAGCGCGTAATTGAAAACGATTACGTGAAAATTCTCCAAAATCTCCAGCAAGAGAGAGAGAGAGAGAGAGAGAGAGAAAAGTGCACAACAACATCTTAAATGATTTTAATCGAAAATCGTCGATTGATAAAGCAGACAATATTAATTAATAGAAAGTTAATAACAAACATTTTTTCTTATCTGATGGGGAACCTATTATAACTAAAATCAATAGTTAATTATTATCGATTTTAATTACCACACAATTAATATACTTTCGTTCAAAGTATAATAATAATAATGATAATAAATACGCATTTACAAAAATGTTTTTTTTTTTTCCGTTAACCGTAGCCAAAAAAAAAAACTAAAAACTAATCGTCACGTGATTTCCCATAGGAAAATCAATTTATTTGTTTATTAATATTATTATTATTATTATTTTATCAAAAAAGAAAATTATTTTTTGACCGATCACTTTTACAGCTGTGATAATAAAAACATGGTAACCTCCTCCTCCTCCTGTTTCACTCTGAATGAAATATTTATTATATTATAATGTCAAAGAGGTTAAAGATAAAATTCAGAATCGTTTCTTTCATCTCTCTCTCTCTCTCTCTCTCTCCCTCTCTTTTTTTTTCTTGTTAGAATTTCTTTGTTTGCATACATATTTATTTTATATTATGTTATTTTTAATTTTTACCCTAAGGATTATAACAAACACAAAAAAAAAATATTTTAAAATTTCTTAAAAAAAAAAAAAAAAAATACGGGGAGAACCAATAATAAACTTTTTCTTCCCCTTCCCCTACCCTCCCCCTCCACGTCGAAATAATTGGGAAATTTGGAAACGAAAACACACAAAAGTTTTATACAAAACATCATCATCATCATTATTATCTTTATTACGTTATTTTTTCACTCGAGCATTATATATTTTTACTGTTATTTTTCTTGTTAATGTTTTTACACACACACACACCGCTAAAAATTTTATAACCGTTAATCGGTTGATTATAGTTAAAGTATCTAAGAGAGGAATTATTTTAATAAAAAAAAAAACTTGTTAAAATTAATTCTCACATCCTGACAACATTTTAAACATCATTTCGTCGTAAAAAAAAAAAAAATGAAATTTCACTTAAATTACCGGTTAAACTTTAACGATGATCGTCATCGTTTCCATTTTCCCTTTTCCAAAAATAAACATAAAAAGTTTTCCTCCATCTTTGTTAAAAAAAAAAAGGGGGCTCGTGGCAAAAACAACAACAACAACAACAATTTTTTTACTCTCTCATAAATAAATAAATAACGGTAGCCATATTTGATTTACCAAAAAGATTAACACAATCATATTGTGTATACGCTGCTATTATTATTATCATTATTATTACATATACACATTCATTTATGTTAAGTGTAAATAAACAATTACGTCACACATTTTAAAAATATAACTTGTCGGACATAATTTAAGGTGGTTGTCCGTGAAATAAAGACGTCACAGATTGGCACCATGTGAAGTCGAAGAAGTCAGTCAAAGAAAAGAATCGAATTTGAATTTGAATTAGTTTGTCGTCTCGTGAATTTCCTGTCCGGATGATTTTTATTCTTTTCTTTTCTTTTCTTTTTTTTATTCTTATTCGAATGCATTCACAATAAAACAAAAAAGCCAAACCAAAAAATTTTAATTTTGTTTTATCGTTAACAATGACATAAAATGCGGTTGATTTTGTTTCACTCCGACAAAAACGCGGTTTCAAAACAAAAAACCCCGATAAAATTTTAATTTTTATAAACAATAATAATAATAATAATAATAATTAAAACAGGAGAGAGAGCAAAAATTAACGAACTAAATAATCGAATAATTTATTTAAAAAAAAAAAAAACCGTTAAATTTATATCAATTGATTCAAAAATACATTCACGTTATTTTTCTCGTGTTTGTTTGTTTGTTTATTTATTTAATTAATTACTAAATAAATAAATAAATGATATTATTAATAATAATTTTTGTTATGTATATATGTATTAAATAAATTTATTAACAATTATTGTTTATTATTGATTTGTTCCGCTATAAATAATAATTAGTAATTAAAGTTTATTGAAGAGCTTCCGCAATAAAAAGAAATGATTCAATCAGACGAAAGAGAGAGAGAGAAGCTCGACTAAAAAAGGTCTTGAACGGGGTCACGACCGGGTCCCTATCATTCTATCACACACAAACACACTCTCTCTTTCTCTTTCTATCTATCTCCCTCTCTTACTTTTTCTCCCTTCTTTTTTTTTCGTTTTTGTTTTTTCTCATTCTGTTTAATTTTGTGCTCCCACTACGATCCTTAAAATTAAAGGAAATCCGTAGGAAAAAAAAAAAAAATTTTTTTTTTATTTCTCCATTAAAAAAATTATTATTTTTTTTTTCGAGTAGGCGACAAACGAGTTTTGTGTGTAAAAAAAAACAAATTATTTAACAAATCATTTATTTTTAATTAATTCCATTTTTGAAAAGAAAAAAGGAAAAAAAAAAAATTTTTTTTTTTTAAATCGACCATCATTTTTTTCTTCTTCTTCTTCTCCTTCCTCTTCCTCCTTTTAATGATGTTTTGCGCCTTTTTCATTGTGTTTGAAAAAAGAAATAATGATAATAACAAACGATATTCACTTAATAACTCAATTGTTAATGTTAACTGATCAAACACATTAAACACACGTATTGATAGTGTGTGTGTGAGAGAGAGAGAGAGAGAGAGAGAGAGAGAGGGGGGAGGTAAAAAGAGTGCATTGAAAAGATATGAAGGGATCAAATACAAAACAACAACAACATGGCCACTAATCAAATCGGCACGCCATCAAAAACGTGTCCTTACCTTTTTTTTTTTATATCCAAATGAAACCCACAAAAAATTTTAAATTAAAAAGGAAAATCACAAACAAGGACATGAAAAGAAAAAAAAGGAAATCAATCGATCGTATTTTTTTTTTATAACAAACAACAATAAATTAATTTCTCTTTCTCTCTCTCTCTCTCTCTCTTTGTCGTCAAAAGAATCGATAATAATGATAATAAACAAAAAATATATGTACTAGGGAAAAGGTAAATGAATTTATTTACTAAAAATTATTCAAATTTTTAAAAATGGGGGAGAGACTTTTAACAAACTTTGCATTGTAAAATTAAATACCCTCACGCGTGCAATAATAATCTACGTCATACCCTTTCCTGCTGCTGCTGTTGCTGCTGTCGGTTTACTGCCGTTACCGATTAAAAATTAATTACTAACTTATTTTTCTCTCAAACATTCGAATAGAAAAAAAACTAGAAAAATTTGAAATATAATAATGTAAATAATAAAGAGAGAGAAAAGAGAGAGAGAGAGAGAGAGAGAGAGAGAGAACCAATAATACGCTTTTTCTTTTCCCCCCACGTGCAAATGTAAGGGGGGGGGGGAAAAAAGAAAAAAAATATCAAATTACAAATTAACAAACCATATGAATAATATTTTATTACTAACTAACTAACTAACTAACCCTTATTTTATACGGTTAAATATTTTTAAAATTAAATATTTTTAAGCAGACGACAAAAAAAATTCAAAATACACGAACACGTGATTCCTCACGAGAAAAATCATCGAGAAAAAAAAAAAAAAATTCGTTAAAAGACGTTTGATCCTTTTTTTTTTTTCTCCCTACTGTTTTGGGTTTTACGCTACGTCACATAAATCAAACAAACAAAAAAAAAAACAAAATGTCTGTCGTCGGTTGTTGTCATTCATCGACAACAACCGCATTTATTTAATTACGCATCGTTTATTATTATTATTATTATTATTATTTTTAATTAGAAAGCAATGGATTTTGACGACAAAAATTATTATTATTATTTTGCCGAATAATTTTAAAATTCTATTAAAAATATTTTTTTATACGACGACGATTTGTCGGTTGTTTTCAGAGGGACAAACAAACGAAAACGCAAAAAAAAAAAAAAAAGTTTTCCCTCGATAAGTAAAAAACCTTTCATTTTCATTATGTATTATTATTATTATTATTATTATTATTATTATTATTATTATTATTATTATTATTATTATCAATATATGGAAAAAAAAAATAAGTGAAAGTTTAGCCTAAGGTTTTTTAGAAAAAAAAAAAAAAAAAAAAAACAGAGAAAGTGAACGCACAGAAACGAAAAAAAAAAAAAAAAAATTCTCAAACAACCAACCGCATACCCAACAATAACAAACAACAAACAACAC